CGCCCCCCGCTTCGACTCCAGGTCTGGCTCGCCCCCGCCACGGGGCTCGGCGTGGAGGCTCCCCCTCCCCCATCTCTCCCTGTGGGGTGCAGCCCCCTCGGGGTTGGGTTCGTGTTGGAGGTGCGCTTTGGGGGAGAGGAAGGGGTGCTGTCCCCCCGTCCCTCCCCCCGAGGCTGTGTTTGCTGGTGTGCGGAGGTGGACGCTGCGGTTGAGGTCCAGTTCAGGTCTCCCGCTGCGACCTGCATTGGCCCATGGGTCCCTTTGGGGTGACCAGTCGTAAGCGGGTTAGTGGCAAGCTGGGCAGCGCCCTACAAGCAAGACCACAGGTCCCCATGGGAAGATGTCTTTGAAGCGTGACAGGGCAAAGGTGTGACTGCTGGGGACTGGGGATGAGACCTCCGTCGTGGCTGGGTCCAGTTCGCAGTAGTTTGCATACCCTGGTGGATCCCCACCGCCTTCTTCCAGCCACTTCTCTGAGGCGCTGCCTGGGAGCTTTCTGCTCCAAGAGAGAAGACCGTAAGGATGTTGGGTTAGTCTGGTAAACAGGAGCGGAGATGGTATCGCGGTCTGTCACAGTATTTAATTATTTCCTGCCCATTTCTTTCTGTGTGTTTCCTATGTCTTCTCCAGGCTCAAACCTACGCGAACGCAAACGTTTCTGAATCATTATCTTTGCCAGAAATACAAGAATTGTCAGGCAGTGCTTACAAAGAAATTTTTGGATAAGTTACCCTTGAATAAATGTGACCTATGTACAGGGAAGCGCCTGGCCACTTTCCTGCTGTTATTTTGGGATCAGGGAGCCTAAACAGTGGGATCAGGAGATTGTGAAGGATGCTGGTGCTGCTGACAGCTTATTTGTTTTTTCTTGCTTCATTCATTGCTACTGGTCAAAGTATTACTGGGCAAGAAAAAACAAAAATGTATTTTCAGTAATCCTGGTAATCTTCCTTGTGCTTCAAGGAAAATTTGTAGCCTTAGGGAAATAACTGTCTTTCAAAGCTCAGTTCTTCCTCTGGAGCTTACTGTACTTCAGTGCCCCAATAGTGCCACTTCATCAGCGCTTCTCTGGATAAAGGGTGGGATGGGGTAGCTGGCAGTTCAGCTGGCATTGGTGGGGTTTCAGTGCAAAAAAGTACAGTAAGGACAGCGGATTCATTGGCAACTGACAGTTTCGGAAAGTTAAGTCTTAGCTGCAGATGTGAGGACGCACAAAGGCAGCACCCTCGCTGCTCATTTTACAAATATGCGACAATTGGAAAACCAGCCCATGTGTTCAGAAATGTGTTTCTGATTTCTACAGATACATACTGGGGCTTGTGTGGACGCTGAGTTGTAGCAGCAAATTTATGCACCGAGGCGGGGCAGCTGCAGGGGCTTCTCAGGTGTTGGCTCTCATTTAATTCCAAGTTGGAATTTGGCTCTGAATTATTTGGGGCAGGAACTGTGCAGCATTTATATCTTTGGGTCCTCTAAATATTGGTAAATAAATAGTAACAATGATAGTCTAATCTAACTTGAGTATTTATATGGCTGTCTTCATTTCAAAAGCGTGTAAAAAGGTTTGTTCATCTTGTGATTTTTTTTTTTTTTCTAGATGGCAGCTCATGTTCACAAGCATTTTTCTTGTTCGCTAACGATGGTCTTTTTTTTTTTAAGATTGGTGTCAGTGCCTTGTCAAGACAATGGAAAATTAATAGGTTTTTATGTTCTGGAGGTTAATTTAAGAAATACTTTGGACTATTTGTCATAAAATCTTTCATGTTCACTGCATATAAGTTAAAGGTAGTCAGTTTGTATTTAAATTAGCCTATTAGAATGCTCATTTTTTAATCTGTCAAGGGTTGCTACCTGTTGTTGTTTGGTTGTTGGGGTTTTTTTTAAGTTTATGAAAGTGCTTACCAGCGTCAGTTTAATCAAACACTACTCTGGAAGCAGTCTAGAAAATACTGGAGGCGTTGAACTAAGGGCTGCTTTAATTTCTTCTTCAGCTGCTGAAAATGTTCTTGAGGTTTAAAATCATTTTTCTGTATTTCTAAGTAGAAGGTAGTAATACAGTTGTTCTTGTTAACAGGCTGTTGACAGTCTTAGTAATCATGACTGTGCCGTATAAATTAACTCATGTGCCTGTTTATTCTTTTTTTTTTTCCCCCATCAATATTTGCATTTTTATTTCCATGGCCATAAAACGATTTGCATTTTTGAGTCTGAATTTAATTGCCTAGTCATCTGCTGTGAATTTGGTAAATCCTCTAATAGACACAAATTTTGCTTAGTTTTAAGGAATCTGCAAAGTCAGTCCTGCAAAGCTGCATGATGTGTTCACTGCTTTGTTCAGTTGTCTGCTTAACATCAATATTTTCTTAATTGTAGGTTTATTTTTGTTTAAAAAAAAAAAAAAAGCTCTTGTGTTTTAAGTCCATCCCAGATGTCTTGCCAAGCTTTGTTAATCACTACAAAATACCACTTTTGGGGGTTTCTTAGAACCTATTACGCTATTAGTCTTAACATCTTAATTATGTTTTTGTGTGTATAACAGAATTTGTCAGGAGCTAATTGAAATATTTTCTGTCCTTGCCTGGGAGTAGGAATATTTGTGCAACTGAAAGTGAACGCTCTGTATAGAGGCTTGTCTATTTTAAGGGAAATGTTTGCCAGAAGAAAAAAAAAGATGAAGCAAGCGGAGAGATCATTCAGTAAAATATTTGAAGGCTTCGAGGCTCTGGGACTGTTAGGAGGCTCAGTGTGTTGTGGAAGTGATGTGTATAGTCTTCGAAGGAAAGTTTGACATCATTTCCCTAGTGATATCTAGCTACTGGCTGCTTTCCAGAACGTTTTAGCAGGCAAAGAGGCACTTTTTTTCTTTTTAATTAGTTTTTCCAGTGCTGCCTTTTATCTAGGAAAAAAAAAAAAAGTCCTTTAAATTATAAAAGGAATTTGAGAAAATGGAAGCAGTAAAAGCTTAAAAATAGGAACCAAGCTTTTGACATGCTTCCTGCCGTATGTTTATACATTGCTTAAAAAAAAATAGTATTTCAGGCAAAGTGGGGTCGTTGTGTGGATTTAAGGTGGTCAAACTAATCACGTAAGCTAATGTTAGTATTCTGCTGTAGTAACACTGCTGCTCTCTGTGCTCTCTGAAAAACTTTATTATCATTTAAGCATCGTTTCTTTTACCTTTCAAATGTTCCCGTGTTATCACCGTGGAAGATCAGTCAGATAGCTCTCTTGATTATTGATCTGGCACACTTGCTGTTTAAAGCATGTCTCTATTTTTTGCTATTTAAGTCTGAATGAAGTGAGAGCTGAGAACGTGGAGACGAAAATAAGTAACTAACTGGAGGAAATAAATAACCAATTGGCAAATCTCACACCTATTACTCAAAAAGGCATCTTTTTCTTTTTCCTCTTCTCCCACAGGGAATCCCCAGCCGCAATCTCTCACATCATAAAGCTTATCGATCTTGCGTAGTATTTTTGTGGTATTAGTCACCAAAATCAACGGGCTGAGATCGTACTGTGGGAGCAGCCATCCTTTCATACCTTGTAAAACAGTGTTAAATTTTTCTTTCTTGTCCGTAATTTTCCAGTGCTGCTTATAGTATTAGTGTGTAAATTAGCCATTTGTAGTTATGGGCTTCGAGAAGCTGTGGTATACGTAGTGCACTGCTAGAATGCATTTCAGATAGACGCTGAGCAGCGAACAGAAGGAGGGGAGATAAGGTACAGTTAAACTCTCAAAAAAACCCACCAGTGGAATGGTGGGTAAATGAACCGCTAACATTTTTGCCCGCTTTTCCCCCTTTAGCTATGACAGGGGATCCACATTCAACGTGTTTGTGGGAAAAGGACAACTTATTGCTGGGATGGACAAAGCCCTGGTCGGCATGTGCGTGAATGAGCGGCGGTTCGTGAAAATTCCTCCCAAGCTCGCCTACGGAAGCGAAGGCGTCTGTAAGTACAGCACCGGGTCAGTGAATAGATGGTTGTGCGAGTGGTTCAGACGAGCAGACAGAAAATGGAGTCACAGAAGAGAAGGGTAGGAATTGCAACGGTCGTGAACTTCAGAGAGGTTCTCCCCCTGCTGAGGGGTGTGTGCTAAGCCTGTAGCCCAGCTAATCGCTCCAGGCTCCTTCTGCCTGCGGAAGGAAGAGCTGTTGACTATAGCGGACCTTCAGCAAATTGAACCTTGCTACTAGAGCTAACTATTTATTTATACCTACCTCGCTGTTAAATAGCCATTGTGTTTTGGCATTGCAGTGCTGCACGAGGTCTTGTCAGTGCCAAAAGCAGCTCTGCT